GTGCCTCCTGCTGACTAAAATGATCCACTTCCAATTCCAGAGTTTATTAAACTAGTGATACTGTGTTAATATCAATTCATTGTAACTAACAAAACATCCTCAGAATACAATGTTAAATTCATGTGACATTTGGCAGTCACATATATTTGGGGTAGTCATGCATTTGCTGTAAGTACTCACACCTAACAGTGATTTTAAATTTTATCTTTTGTCCCCACCTGGTGGTAGAACATTTTCTTACTTTACTTTTTTGGCCCTTTTATTATATAAAGTTCTTTTATTGCTGGTAAAGAAAACCTCTAAACCAAGAAAACAGGTTAACTTTAGCATTGATAGTCAAGTATTAATGTGTACTAACCATACCGTGAACACTTAATAAATATCTGTTTAATGAATGAACCAGTTTTTAATTTGTTTTAATGAGTTGAAACATCCACAATGTTTTCCCTTGAATTCCATAAAGCTCTCAAATGTGATGAATGACAGAGATCCACAGTATTATCTTATTAAAGGTAGTTTTCTTTTTGTAAAGTTTAATTGATTTTTGGTTACGTTAATAGAGCTTTCCAATTAAAAAGTAGTTGGTAAAGGCATTTTTTTATTATTTTAAGAACCTAAATACATTTAAAGTTACAATATTTAAAATATAATTTCCATGATACCAAAAGGCAAGAGAAAATGTAATAAAAATGTACTAAATATGATTGAAAAGATGTAAAACCTTTGCAAATTCCAGCTTTGAACTAAGAAAATATGAGCTGAACATTATTTCTTGTAGAACATCGCCTCCTGGCGGACTGAAAAAGAGGCACTACAGGCTGTGAATCTTTTAAGGTGGAAATTTTTTATTGCCAGAAAATTTGTTTAGCATTTAAATGAAATTTAATCATTGGAAACAACAATGACAATGTGTCTGACAACATACTTACTTACCAAGCAATTATATGGTCATAATACCAAAGCCGTATGACTACAGATCATGAGTCAGGGTCACTTTAAATCCCCAATTTGGCTACAACATTTTAGACAAGTCACTTAATCTCTCTAAGGCTCAGTTCCACATCGGCCAAACAAGGGGATTAGACAGATCACATGATTCCCAGTTCTTACGAATGCATGACTTTGGGGTCACAGCAATTTTAAGGCCAAATACAATTTACAGAAATGTTTCTGTTTTCAGTATTTGTTATATTCCTGGGTACATAACCTGATTTAAATAAATGTTTTCTATTGATTTTCTCATTTATGATCACCTAAAAATATACATTCACCCAATATTACTTTAGACCACATGTTCCCAAAAGAAACACTAATGTTAAACAGCTTTTCCATTTCTAATTGGTAAATCCTCTGGTATGAATAGCATTACATGTTTATGAAACATGTACATTTATTTGTTTCTCTAGATAATGTTTACACTAAAACAATGCTAAGAGTTCATGTATATTACCAGATTCCCTCATTTCATGGCTGTTTGTTGAATACCTAATTTGTTATAGGCTTCTTGAGAATTATGAATATTATGTCTGTATTCTATGAATAAATTAAACACATACAAGCACATATGTATAAATAAAAATTAATAATTGATTTCTTTTACTTTAAAAAGCATGACATTTTTTATTTTCTCTATTAACAGGACAAGAATACTTTCAAAAGATCAAACTGTTAATTTTAAGAATATTTTTATGTCAAATATTTTAACTTTTGTTACATCATCTCTACAAATAATAAAAGTTGGTTAAGGTTTATAAATCAGAACATATCAAGATTTATGTTTATATAAGCATATATGTATCTATAAAAGAAAACCAGAAATACAGTAGGGGTGAAGACAGCATGTAATTATCAAGGTGCACATTCAAATCAAGGAGCAAACATTTCAAAAGGGTGGGCATATTTACTTACAAGGACCCAACATTATATGTCACTTTTACTAGTGCTATGTACAAATTTTACTTCGTTGGTCGTGTTTCTACAGTAAAACATTTTTTCAATTCACAATTTTATTTGTAAATACACCTTTATGCTATACCTACATATTTGTGTCATACCACAAATGTCTGAAGAGTTCTGGTCTTAAAAATAAAAAAGTCATAGATTAAATGTTCTTCTGAGCACGGATGGAGTTTTTCAAGCTTAGTAATTGGCAACTCCTACATCCACGCCTCTGTTGAAGTGATTAAAAGAGAATCATTTCCCAGAACTACAGGTGCACAACAGATTGGAGTCATTATGCAAAAGAACAGAAATCTGGAGAGAAACCCAGTGAATAAAAAAGCCATGTTCCTGGCCATTCTTTTGTGTTCAGTTCTGTTTTTTTCAGCTCTATTCGTATATATAACATGAAATATGCAAAAGTTATAATGGATTTGAAATAAACCATTCAAGATTAGAAATGTATCCCTTGAATTAAACAAACTTCCGATAAGAATGCCCTGAAGGCAGAAATGGACTAAAGGCCAAACTAGCATTAACATATTTTAAAAGCTAAAGTTTACGTAGGAGAGTTGACAGTTTGGAATGCATTACATGATTTTTTAGAAAATTGTACATTTTCTGCAGGTCTTCTGAATTTCCCAGTCTGTCCCAATTCAAGGGAATCACATTTAACCTTATTGATGTGGCAAGAAGCTCTCTCAGTTCCTGGGCCGCCTCAAATATCTGAAATCTCCATCTCAAAGCCAAGTCTGAGGTGCCAGCTGCTGATCACCATATATTGATTCCAGAGCTCTGTTCTAAGCAAGTGGTTTGAAAACGTATTGATGGCTTTGCCATCATGTTTTCATGATACCAGAGTCAATAGCTTGTTAAGTGCAAAGTGACTTCTCTTCAAATATTCTCCCAAGTATCTCAATTTTATTATAGCTAGAAAGAACAAAATAAATTGAAATCATTAAAAAACAGAACGTTAGAAAACTGCTATAACAGAGAAGGGAGATGTAAAAAAAAAAAATAGAAGACTGGAAACCAAACTGAGGACAGGGATGTCTGTATGTTCTGTATGTTAGGCACTTGTGAAGCGGACAGAAGTAAACGACTCATTTCAAAGATGAACAGAAAATTCAGCTAGACAGTGGAGACTGGGATCACACATGAATGTGTGTGTCAATACTAAACCTGAAAAAATAGAACGGGGTCAGAGAGGGCTGCGTTCGGAAGGGAGACTGTGTGGAAGGAAGTAGGCAGAAATTCAGCACCAAATGTTAGACGGTGGGCCAGTGGAAGAGCAAAGAAAAGACAAAAATGGTACTCGAGCTACCTTAAGCTGTAGTTAAAATATATGTAATGCTTGCGTTGGTCGTTCACCATTTAATAACTGCACCGACCTTTGGAAAGGGCAGTTCCACTTAAGAAAGCATCCATTCCTAAGTGTGTGGGAGTCAGGGGGTGCAAGGACACGAGCCCTTGCAAGAGTGAAGCCTTTTTGCTTACTCTGTGCCATTCTTTGTTATTTGATCTTTCGTAAAGATGCGAAAGCCATGTTTTGTTTTTGTTTTTCAAGTGGTCAATCTAGAACTCTGAGAGCAAAGAGGACGCTGAGGAGTGTTCCTGAAAGCCTAAGCTGCAAGAAAGACGCACTGGCGGACCGAAAGGGGCGCTTCTGGCTGGGATCGAATGAAGTCGGGAAGGGCTGGGAGGAATGAGGAAAGGGCCAAAGAGATAAATGTGGTGAAGCCTGCAGGGCGGGCGCGGCGGGGCCGAGACCGGGCAGGGCTGGGAAGTGGGGGCGCGGGCGTGAGGGACACGGGTCTGCCCGGGGATTGCGGCGGTCGTTCTCAGCATTGTCCCCGCGGTTTTCCGCCTGTGGAAGCATTATGAAACATTTCCTTCCTCTGTGTCACTGAGCCCCTCCCTCTTTTTCGATGGAAGAGCTGCTCAGCTTTCTCTTAGGAACCGAGAGGTGGAAAGGCTCAGCTTTTGTCGCCTTCGTAGCATGTATGCCGCCTTTCCCCTAAGCGGCGGGGAGAGGAGGGACGGGTCGGGAAGGAAGCTGACTTCCTAATTTACGCACCGAACCCTTTCTAGCCCCAGCCATCCCGCTGGACCCTGGGTGGAAAAGTGGGGTTCCTTGATATTTCTGGCAGCCTGGCCAACGTCCTATTAGGTGGAAGAAGGAGAACTGGGCGGGAGTTGATTATTTCTCCAATGAAGAAGAAAAACCGCAATTCCCTCCCCGGGCTCTAGGAACTGCACCGCGTTCCAGATCACCTATTCCGGAAGTGTGAACCCGGGTCCCCACAGAGAACTCTCCATGGCAGGGGAGTGGAAGGGAGAGGGGTAAAGGTCAGTGCAAACGCATGGTAAAATCAGGAGCCTGGGAAGTGTCTCCTGGCCCCCTCACTAGGCATGCTTTCTAGGGAGGCGCTGACCCAACCACGTTTTCCCGGAGAAGAGCTGGAGCAACGAGAGCACGCTGAAGCAAACCGACCTGTGGGCAGGCCCGAGAGATGGAGATGGGGTGGGGTACTTTTCTAGAAAGGGCAGCCCTGGCTCGTCTCCCAGATTGGGGAGGAGGGGGCTACGGGGAGAGGGATAAGAGAGGCAGGCGGCCCAGGGACAGCTCCCAGACAGAGAAATCTTGGAGAAGGATTTGGCTCTCCACCCCAATCATCCCTTCTGGGAACGGCTACCCAGCTCTCGAACTGCGCTCCGGCACTAAAGGGGCGGCGAGAAGGGAGGGTGGTCGGGGAAGTCCGTGGGGCGGGGTGAGAGGGGAGGCCAGGTGGAAGGGAGTACCTTCTCCCTTAAGCAGCCCCAAACGTACAAAGTGCAGGTCACAGCGCCCCTCCTGCGTCTTCCGCCCCCAGACTGACTAGTCTGTGGCGCCAAGCCAGCGCCGAGGCCGCCCCAACCCCCGCCCGGGCCTGCGGCGCAGAGCGCGGTTTAGCACCGACTGAGTTTTAGGGGGCGGTGTCTTCGGGATGGAACCGCTGCCAAGAGGGAGGAGGGAGGGGGGAGGGGAAGTGGAGACATAGTTTGAGACTATAAAAGGGCATTCTGAGTTGCCCGGTTCTTGCACTCGCTGGGAAGCGGCTTCAAGCTGGTGGCCGCTGCGAAGCTAGGGCGCGCAGTGGGGACAAGAGGACAGAGCTCTGCGCAAAGCGAGCGGCCAACGCGGAGGTCGAAGAGGGGCTCCAGGCACCGATCCTCACGTTTCCTGTTGCCCGTTGCCCCCTGCCCCAGAGGCGTTCCAGGGCGCTTCTTGTCCCCTCGGCAGCCACCCCGCCAGCGCCTGCGGCGCGGTGCTTCCAACTCTGCGCTAGAAGAAAAACTTCCCGCGCTCCAGCAGAACTGCAGCGCCTCCTCCTAAGTGACTCCTGGAGCTCTGTGGTCGGCTCTGCGCCCTTTCAAAGAATAATAGTAACTTAATTTTAACAGTCAGGAGCGAAGCCAGCTAGGCTCTGCGTTCACGACCAGAACAATAGCCAACTCGCTCGGTGCGCTGAGGTGCACGGTGCCTCCCGGGGCTCGGTTGCAGCGAGCTGTCCCCTTGGGGTTCCGAAGACGTACGGCAGGCGGCGACATGGGGAACGCAGAGCTGGAGCGGCGGTCTCGAAGCTTCCAGTCTGCCCCCTCGCTGCTGCTGCTCGCGGTGGCAGTGGCGCTGCTGGTCACACCCGGTGCGCGCGGGCGCCCAGCGGAGGAAGACGAAGAGCTGGTGATGCCAGCACTTGAGCGCGCCTCGGGGCAAACGACCACTCACCTCCGCTTGGACGCCTTCGGCCGGCACCTGCGCTTGGAGCTGCAGCCCGACCGCGACTTCCTGGCTCCCGGCTTCACGCTCCAGACGGTGGGGCGCAGACTCGGGCCCGACGCGCAGCGTCCGGACCCTGCGGGCGACTTGGTGCACTGCTTCTACTCCGGCACCGTGAACGGCGACCCCAACTCGGCCGCTGCTCTCAGCCTCTGCGAGGGTGTGCGCGGCGCCTTCTACCTGCAGGGCGAGGAGTACTTCGTCCAGCCCGCGCCCGCAGCCGCCACAGTGCGCCTCGCCCCCGCCGCCGCCGGGGAGGAGCCGCCGGCGCGGCCCCAGTTCCATCTCCTGCGGCGGAGACGGCGGGGCGGCGGTGGCGCCAAGTGCGGGGTTATGGACGAGGAGATTCAGCCCGCTAGGGGCGCGGGGTCGGAGAACGAAGACGCCGGGGTGGAGTGGCTGCCGCGGGACTGGGCGCCGCAGCGCGCCGGACAGCCAACAGGTATCTGCCCCAGAAGAGCTGCTCTCTCCTGTCTCTCCTTTCATCCCCTTTCCCCTCTTTCTCTGTGCGGCTTGAGGGTAGCATCTTATTTTGTCTGCGGATAGGTGGAGAGTTGGAGGAATGTAGCTTGTAGTTTGGGTTGGTGAGCCAATGAAATTCTGCTAGACGTTTTCCCGAATAATGAATGCTCAGGAGAGGGTAAATCGACGATTTTCTACTAAAGAGAAGCGTTTCGAACGGGAAGGGAGAGTTGGTAACCCAGCTCCTTCCACCTTAGTTCATTGTGAGCCTGTGCGCCCACTTTCCATACTGTTAATCTTTTTTTTCTTTTCAACCATTGTGCATGTGTTTAGTCGAGTTGCAACTTTGCTCTTAGTTTTGTAACCGCCGCCTATGTGCATTCCCTGCCTCCAGAAGAGGGAGGAGTGGAGGGTTGGTGACCTGGAAATGTGTACCCAGAGAGGCTGGACAGCTGCGCTGCCATCTCTGTCCCCGTACCCCTTTAAGAGGCTAACCCCGACCGGCTGGAGGCGGCTGTGGGGCCCCTCAGCGGAACCTGTTCGGGAGGTCTTTGCCCGGCTCGCCCCGCCTCTCCGCGCCTCCCACCAGGCCTCCCAGTTTGCGCTCCCTCTCGCGGCCATAATTCGGCTCTCAAGCCCTGTTGAATGTTAGTCACCGCTTGATCCTTGCTGTCCCACCTTCGTCTTGCTCTCTCTGTTGTGTGCAATACATCTAGTTCTTTTCATTCGATCATTTTGGTGCCTGTTTCTTCCCTCAACTTTACCTCGTCTGGTTTTAGAATTTTCCTCTTTGCCCCTGTACATCTGCTCCTGGAAGCAGTTACATACATGGTCAGAGCGAGGTTAGGACTTTCTGGGAGCTGAGTCTCAGGAGTCAGAGGGCTCTTTTCCAAAAAATCCACCGTGGCCCCATGGCCCGAGACAGGAATTTATTTCCCTGGGGCGGTGGGAGTGGGGCAATAGGCTGCTGGGCAGAGTGGGTGGTCCTTGTGCCCGGATTTGGCAAGAGCAGAGCACCCCAGGGACCCCCTGGAATGAGAGAGCAGAGCAGTGCAAGCTGAGATTCCTTCAGGCCCTGCCCCTTGGCAGAGGCCCCAGCCCTGCCCTGGGCCTTCCACGTGGAGCCCGATGATCTCATTCAGGATTTGAGTCCCGGCCTGTGAAAGAGTGACTCAGGGTGCTTGCCTCCTGCCCTTGCTCCAAGTTTTTACTACAGCTGGGTGGGATGATGTGCACCCTGCCTTGTTCAAATTGTAGGACTTTAAAGAGGAAAAAAGAAATTTTGCTCACACACACAAAACGAACAAACAAAAAGCCTGATCCTGAGGAGCACAGGGCCTCTTTATTTAAAGTAAAAGAGAAAACTTTTAAAAATAACGTTTTCTGTGAGAAGAGATACAAATAATTTTGTTCCAGGTTTATTTTTGTTCTATTTGCTTTGACTGGTTAGACTTTCCTTACATACCCTGAGAAGGTAACTATTCTTGGCTAGACTGCCCCTGAGCAAAGGCTCTTGTTTCTTTACAGGAGCTGGAAGCAAAAGAAAGAAGCGATTTGTGTCCAGCCCCCGTTATGTGGAAACTATGCTCGTGGCAGACCAGTCAATGGCAGAGTTCCATGGCAGTGGTCTTAAGCACTACCTGCTCACCCTGTTCTCGGTGGCGGCCAGGTTGTACAAACACCCCAGCATTCGAAATTCAGTTAGCCTGGTGGCAGTAAAGATCTTGGTCATCTATGAGGAACAGAAGGGGCCAGAAGTGACTTCCAATGCTGCGCTCAGTCTGCGGAACTTCTGCAGCTGGCAAAAGCAGCACAACCCGCCCAGTGACCGGGACGGGGGCCACTATGACACCGCGATTCTCTTCACCCGGCAGGTAAGAGGCAGACAATACTGCTGATGAAAGCATCCTCTTGGAACTCAGCTTTGTAACAAAAAAATGTATACGAGGCATTTCAGCAGTGTTTTGGCACTCACAATTTTTTCATTGGTTAACATGGCTAATCTTGCTTATTTCCTCAGTAATTTTCATATTTCAAATTTCACAGTCTTATTTGAATAACGTTAGGGAGAATCTTAATTAAAGTCACACAAAATACTCCTAAAAGGACAGACAGCTCACCAGCAATGCATGTAGATGCTCCAAAACATAGGGGAAAATATCCCTCACCAAAAAGTTTGATGCTCTGACTCTATTCATGAGGACACGTTTTCACTCCCTGTAGGACCTGTGTGGGGCTCAGACATGTGATACTCTTGGGATGGCTGATGTTGGAACTATATGTGATCCCAGCAGAAGCTGCTCAGTCATAGAAGATGATGGCTTACAAGCTGCCTTCACCACAGCACATGAATTAGGTAAGCCCGTTTCAGAGTAAGAGTGAAGCCCAATTCACAAATTCAAACTGGTAAACCATATACTAATTTAAGAAACAGAATATGCTGGTTATATTCCTTTTTAGGTGCCTGGGCTCCCTTGAAACTGCAGAAAATATCTTTCCACTATTCTAAACATGGTCCTCTTTATTAGAATTCAAAGTAAGATCGTTGGAGCTATAGACACCTGGAAATTTACATGTTTGCTTATATCCTGTGAAAAGTAGACATTGTCTCCAAAATACATTTCTTCCTCTATGGAAATATCACTTTGAGACAAATGAATCCCTGTTGGTAAAAAAATAATGCAAATAACCTGTATTTTAATGTGGGTTTCGGATTACTTCCTAGGGCACGTGTTTAACATGCCACATGATGACGCAAAGCAGTGTGCCAGCATTAATGGTGTCCACCGGGATTCCCACATGATGGCGTCAATGCTCTCCAATTTGGACCGCAGCCAGCCGTGGTCCCCTTGCAGTGCCTACATGATCACGTCATTTCTGGATAATGGTCATGGTGAGATCCTCAAGCTACTCTTCCCCATGTAGGGTTCAAGCTAAACCAACTCTTTCTTTTTTATTGTTCTTTTATTTTCCCTCTTTTCAAAATTACTTTCATTACCAAGGACATATGTTTTTAGATCTTAATTCCCAATAAAATTTGTGCTTTTGGGCTGAGTACCTCCCCAAGCACATCAGTTTGAATTTTTAGTAGAGCAATAACTCCCAGTCATTGTTAATTCAGGAAAACTCACTCCATTGAGGATAACATCTTAATAATGATTTAAATCTCTCTGGCACTTTCCCCAAAAGCTCTGTAGTTTTCAAATCATTTGCTATATATTCTTTCTTATGATAAATGTTTTCTGCAACTGATCTACCCATTGGATGCTTTCATTTACTGTTAACTAATAGCAGTGGCATTTTTCTTGGCAGGAGAATGTTTAATGGACAAACCCCAGAGCCCCATACAACTCCCCTCTGATCTCCCTGGGACCTTGTATGATGCCAACCGACAATGCCAGTTTACATTTGGGGATGAGTCCAAACACTGCCCAGATGCAGCCAGCACATGCATGACCCTCTGGTGCACGGGCACCTCAGGCGGGTTGCTTGTGTGCCAAACCAAACACTTCCCATGGGCAGATGGCACCAGCTGTGGAGAAGGGAAATGGTGTATCAACGGCAAGTGTGTGAACAAGACTGACAAGAAGCATTTTGATGTGAGTTTTTCCACTGCAACGCATACACACTTATTTAAAATTTGGAATTGAGAGGAGCAAAGTGATCCAAACATTTGATTCCACATCAAACACCCCATCTGTGTCCTCTCAAGGCGACTCAAGATCCAGACACATTATTTTTATAGTTGATTCTTTGTCTCATATCTTTCTCTTCTATTTCCTAAAAAGTTTCTATAGGGAATTCTAACGCTGATGATTTGTGATCCCCTTTTAGACTCCTGTTCATGGAAGCTGGGGGCCGTGGGGACCCTGGGGAGACTGTTCGAGAACCTGTGGTGGAGGAGTTCAGTATACAATGAGGGAGTGTGACAACCCAGTGCCCAAGAATGGAGGGAAGTACTGTGAAGGCAAGCGTGTGCGCTACAGGTCATGTAACATCGAGGACTGTCCAGATAATGATGGTGAGTAGGGGTGGAGTGAGAAGGATGTGCCTGCAAACAGGCAGCTAAGGATTGAAAACTAATAATGTCATCATTTCTTTATCTTTGCAGGAAAAACCTTTAGAGAGGAGCAATGTGAGGCACACAATGAGTTCTCCAAAGCATCCTTTGGGAGCGGGCCTGCAGTGGAGTGGACACCCAAGTATGCGGGCGTCTCCCCAAAGGACAGGTGCAAGCTCATCTGTCAAGCCAAAGGTATTGGCTACTTCTTCGTTTTGCAGCCCAAGGTAATTATTTTTATACTGGCTTTTTGCCTAAAAACCCAGGGCCTTGCTTGCTGTCTTCTCGTGAAAGCTATAATACACTTTCTCTACTTTCTTTGTCACCATTGGCAGTTGCCTGCTTCCATGTTATCTTCAGTTGTGAAGGAAGCTTGAATCCAGCACTTAACAATTCTTGCAATTGTTTATTATTATTCTCATATACAAAGACAAGCCCTTTCCTTCTGGTTAGATAAGCTATATTTTACCAATCAGTGATGGTGCAAAATAGCTTAAGGACGGTCTGAAGTACTTGCTACTAGACAGCCAGCAGTAGAGTGTATGCACTGACTCACAACAGTGGAAGTCTGAGCACTGGTGATTCTTGTGTTGAGGATATGTATTGAACTAGCAAAAGCATCATTTCTGAGGGCATAAATCTGGCTCTGAGGTAGAAAACGATTGAATTCAGTTGAGATTGTCATATGTCATTATCACTGCAAGCTATGAAAATATATCCCAGTTGCAGGTTCAACATATGAGTGACTTACTCAGCACTTACTATGTCCACTATTATTCTGGGTATTGAGGCCATCTATAGCAGTAAGCAAATTGACCAAGAGCTCTCTTTCTTCGACCTCATCTAGAAGTGAGGTAATAAACAAATCATCAAAATATATATAATTTATTCAGATGTCTACATACATTGTGAGAAAAAAGTCAAAGAGAAGGACAGACTGTGACATCTATACAGGACTATTTTAATTACAATGCTCAAGAAAGCAGAGACGTCTTGTTAATGAGGAAACATTCACGATCATCATAGCATCACCTCTTTCCCTGGTGATGTGTGACGCTGGATACGTGTTCTTCCTTCTCTAGGTGGTAGATGGTACACCATGTAGCCCAGATTCCACCTCTGTCTGTGTGCAAGGACAGTGTGTAAAAGCTGGTTGTGATCGCATCATAGACTCCAAAAAGAAGTTTGATAAGTGTGGTATTTGTGGAGGAAATGGATCCACATGCAAGAAAATATCAGGATCCGTTACTAGTGCAAAGTAAGTTTTAAAATGCCATACTCCCAAAGATCTTATCATTTAGATATATGTAGCTCTCTACAGGTCTGATAAAAATTATGTGCTAAATGATCACCATGTTTTCAAGCTAAGTAACATAATTAGCCAGTGAATGAGCGGTCTCATTTTTATATCTGTTCTTCTTGCCTGCAGACCTGGATATCATGATATTGTCACAATTCCAACTGGAGCCACAAATATTGAAGTGAAACAACGTAATCAGAGAGGATCCAAGAATAACGGAAGCTATCTTGCCATCAAAGCTGCTGATGGCACATACATCCTGAATGGTGACTTCACTTTGTCCACTTTAGAGCAAGACATTACATACAAAGGTAGTGTCTTGAGGTACAGTGGCTCCTCTGCAGCCTTGGAAAGAATTCGCAGCTTTAGCCCTCTCAAAGAGCCCTTAACCATCCAGGTGCTCACTGTGGGCAATGCCCTTCGACCTAAAATTAAATACACCTATTTCGTGAAGAAGAAGAAGGAGTCTTTCAATGCCATCCCTACTTTCTCAGAATGGGTCATTGAGGAGTGGGGCGAGTGCTCCAAGTCCTGTGGACTGGGTTGGCAGAGAAGGTTGGTGGAGTGCCGGGACATCAACGGGCAGCCTGCCTCAGAGTGTGCGAAGGAAGTGAAGCCAGCCAGCACCAGACCCTGCGCGGACCTGCCCTGCCCCCACTGGCAGGTGGGGGATTGGTCATCGTGCTCCAAGACTTGCGGGAAGGGTTACAAAAAGAGAACCTTGCAGTGTCTGTCCCACGATGGCGGGGTGCTGTCTCCCGACAGCTGCGATCTTTTGAAGAAACCTAAACATTACATAGACTTTTGCACCATGGCAGAATGCAGTTAAGCAGGTTGGTGTTGAGGGAAAGAGGAGGTGTGGAAGGGCTGATGCACTGAAATCAAGAAGGCTGGAGGAACCCAGTGTGCCTTGTCGGTGACCAACGCGGTGTATCAGTGAGTTGGGAGTGTAGAGGTAGGCAGGAAGGAAGTTAGCGCCTCAGAATATCCTGCCATTTGCAGATTTGATAGGATTATTAATCTCTGAACAATGATAGAGCCCGGTTAAAGCCCCAGGCCATTATTATTCCTGTTGTTACATCTCTGACTTCAAAGTTTAAAAACACTAGAAACAATTGTCAAAGTAAATTTAAGGAATACTACAATCCTTGTTTTGTGGTACTGATTAAATACTTTGTATCATGCATGTTGGAAAGTGAAAAGCAGGAGAAAGATGAGATTTTTAGTTTTAAGACTTGGCTTACTTTACCTCACTAACAATGGAGGGAGGAGGGACTACAAACAGGATCTTTGACTAGCCCTGTTTATGGCTGCTATGGTTTCAGAGAATGTATGTGCCATCCTGTCTACTAAGAACTAAGAATTCAAGATTGTCCAGCATGAGAGAAATGCGTAGCAGTGTCCTATCACTCCATCTTTACTTTCTTTGCCATATTGTTTCTTTGTGAATTCATTCTGACAAACAATTCCATGTATTTGTAAAAAGGTATTAAGTATACAAAGGGAAAAAAGCAGCGATGTATCAGATACTGTAACAACTAGAGGAGGCACCTCGAGCCTACCTCCTCCCTTTCTTTTCCTTCATATGTAAGCCTGCTTTTGGAATGTGGATGTGGAAAAACAGTTTGTGTCTCCAGAAAGTAAAATCACACACAAAAAAGGATCTAATGCCAGAACAAGAATGGGGTGTGCAGAACAGGGTCCCCAGTGTTTGGGGACTCTGAGATCACTTGTCTCTCAGTGGGGAGGCTACTGAGGGGTAGCAGGTCCATCCCCAGCAGCTGGTCCAACAGTCATATCCTGGTGAATGTCTGTTCAGCTCTTCTACTATGAAAGAGAATATGACTTTTTCCATATGTATATAGTAAAATATGTTGCTATAAATTCTATATACTTTATAAGTATCGGTTTGTGTGTTCCTTCTAAGAAGGACTATAGTTTGTAATAAATGCCTATAATAACATATTTATTTTTATACATTTCTTTCTAATGATAAAACCTTTAAGTTATATCACTTTTGTAAAAGGACATATAAGAATAGAGTATTTATACAATATATGTTACTAGAAATAATAAAAGGACAATTTTTGAACCTGTGTGTCTATTTTTTTCTAGTGGGAATTAGTTCCTGGGAAGGAAATCTCCAATAGAAACATTGAATTTGAAGACTGAATGTTATTACATTTTTTTGGAAATGAGATTTCATTCTAATGAAATGTATTTTATGTGTTCTTGGTGCATGTGGTTACAGCCAAAAAAGGAATCTTTTATATCTTTGGTAGATAGGTTTGTTACTAATATAATATATACCAATGCTTGGTAAACTTTTTCTGTAAAGAGCCAGATAGTAAATATTTTCAGTTTTGGGGCTTTAATCATCTCTGTTATGGTGACTCAATTGTGTTGTAATATGTAAACAGCCCTAGACAATGCATAAGTGAATGGGCATGCTGGTGTTCTAACAGAACTTGATTTACAAAAACTGGACCAAATTAGTTTTGTGAATGTAATTTGCCAAGATCTGATTTATAACATGGTAAATGTTAGGGTTCTGGATGCACTTTGAATTTGTATCTCTTCCTTAATCATATCACATTAGTAAAATTAGGTAAAAGTATTTAAGCTACTGAGTAGAAAATGATGCTCATGAATTTGGGACAGACATGCATGGGGAGTAAAGCTCGCCAATTTTTCCATTTGCTCTTCAGAAATACATGAGGTGCTCTGGAGAAAACTGGAACCCCCAAGCCACTCCTGGTAGCCTTTCAAAAATCACTACATTTTAAATGCTAGATGTTACACCAATGAATTTAAAAGTTCAGAAGTGTTTCCAAAGTAACTGTCTCTGAAGAGAGAGCTTGCTTACTAGAAGACTCGGATTATGTGGTTAACCGCAGAAATTTCCAACTTGAGATTTTCACCCTTTTTCAACCCTCCCTGGAACAGTTCTCTCAAGTAGTTCTACGTAATATTAATTTCAGATTTAATTTCTAATTTACGTTTGGAATTAGTGTTCTTACCCTGAGCAATTGAATGCAAGACTCACAAGAGCAAATGCATAGGTTGGCCATGCAGCTCAGTGACCTATGCTCTTGGCATCAACAACTCTAACACAATGACTTATTCGCCTACATCACTATGGCACAAATCCCCATAGTAAGTGATGTGAAGGATGGGTACACACACAAGAAATGCCCTTACACTCAATCACTTACACAAGCTGTTTGATTAAATGAGCTCAATGTACCTAAAATGATAACCCCTAATACAAAGAAGTCATTTTGGCATCTTGCTTAATACACTAATTAGTTTTTTCTTCTAAAAGGCTTACATTGATTTGAAGTAGTAAGCAAGGAGATTGAAATTCAGGACACAAAAAGATACAAACAGCCAAAAGATTTCTATCATACTCTATTCTCAGTTCAAGGTAATGCCAAATGATTTTTTTAGTTGCCATATTATTTTTTCAGCTCTCCACTGATGAAATTTGTCCTTTTTTCAATAAACTGAGAGGTTTAAAATACTCTATTTTGGTAACACAGAGAGTTTGGTACAAAACACTCATCCAGTTCTGTGAGCTTGACTGGGCACTCGCTTCAAAGGAGAACAAATTTGTGCTCATTTGTGTTGCAGATATACCTTATGAGCTGGAGTGATATTCGGTAGTAATTTAAACTAATTCTCAAAGCACTCGATGGGCCACTTTCTTTATCTAGCATTTCAGTCACTACTCAAGCACAATTTTTGGATCAGACCTTTCAGGCAAAAGTTGTTTCCAACTTTTTCTCTTTTGAATTTGTCTTTTAGAAGAGGGCACTACAGATCTCAATGTGATCTAGAAACAATGGACACAAATTAGCCACAGTTTGCTAACCTCACTGGTTTCCCAAAGGAAAAAAAAATTATTAATATAAGGATTAGGGTGCTAAATCTATCCAAGAAATTAACCAAAGCTACCCCAGTGTAAACACAAGTATCACTCACTCCACTTGTCTCCATTTGGTCTCAGTCTTAGAGGTTTCTAAAGTAGTTTTCATTCAATTTACTCTTGTCGTCATAGTTCAGAAACCCACTTCTATTAATCATAGCACCTTCATTTAAGGGCAAGTTTCTATAATTGCTATGCAATTATTTGTTTGTAATTTAGCCTATTTTTTATATGGAATTTCTTGCTCTTTAGGATTACTATTGTTTTATGTTCCACTACTCTTAAAAGAAAGCACAAAACATTTACTTACTGGAGTAGGAAGGAGGTGGAGTGCAATTTTATGTAGAATAATACCAAAGGCTTTTTCCATAAGGAGATATTTGGGAAGAAACCAGAAAGATTGGAGGGGACAGCTCTCTGAGGAATGAGATTACAGTAAAGAGGTGGCCACTATGGCTGGGAGTAGCTCAGCTCCTTGGAGAAGAAAGCAGGAGGCCAGTGTCACTGGAGTGATGAGGGGAGGGGAAGGAGGGAAGGAGAAGTCAGTGGAGGGCAGAAAGCTAGTTCCATAAAAATAGGAAGTATGTTTGGGGTTTTCTCTGAGTAAAATAAGGAACCAGTGAAGGAAGTTGAGCAGAGGAAAGACACAGTTTGACTTGACATTTGTCATATTGACGAAATCATAACAGAAGGATAGAAATTTCTTCTGTTGGGAGTTATCAAAGGTCATCATTTTATTCTTGAATTTGGCCATTAGATAAACAGATGAATATTTTTTAAATCATAATACCCAAAAGTGTCTCCTCATAGAGAAAGGATGTGTGTTAAATATGAACCATAAAGAAAAGAATGGAAGGCAAAAAAGGTAACAGAATCCCATCCACATTATCACAACAATACACTACTTAAATTTTCCTATTAAAGGACAGTCTTGAGGATACGTTTCAAAATAAAATCTAATGACATGTTAAATAAAAGGGAACTATCAAAATCAAACTGGCATTTCTTCAAAGAAGTGCAAAGATTTATGAGGCAAACAGTAGGAAAAATGCAGCAATAGAATATGGTATCAGCCAAAGTTATGTTTAGGATGGAAAAACTAAGCAAAATAAAGAGTAACAGTTCTTGTGGATTAAAGGTGGAATCTACAATAAAATATGTGAACTGGATAATAGGACCAGTCCATAACCCCAGTTTAAAATTGCTAAAACTACTAAAGGTAATCAACAGGTAAGAACTATTCTATTTATCTTGAAAATATTTCTCTAGGTAAGGGAAAATCAAATATATAAGAAAAAACTCAAAATTTTACAAAAACATAGAAGAATAAGGCAAGAGAGATACAAATTTCTTTTACTCTCTTACATAAACCTTTCATTTTGTCCTAAAATAATGAGTAGATTTAATGAAATTGCAATCATTATCCATTCATAAATTTTTGGAACTTGGCAACATAATTCTAAACTTCATCTGAAGAAATAAATATTGCAAAGGTAAATAAAAAGAAACACTGTAAAACAAAGTGTAATATAAGGTACTTGTTTGACAAAAGGTATTTGAAAATGCACCAAAAATTATAATTAGAAAGAAAGTGATACTTGTAGAATTATTGACAGGCATATCTATGGTGGAAAATATACTACACCTTAGTAATCATAACCAAAGAACAGTATATGATGAAATTGGCAATATAAATCTGTGAGCATAAAAGGATCATTCTAAACATAGCTTTAAATAACTAGAAATTTGTTCAGAAAAATTAAAGTTTTAGAGCCTTCTTTTAGACCATTCACCCATATAAAGTCCAGATATGTAAAAAGTTAAAACATAAATGAAACCTTAAGAAGAATTAGCAAATATAGAGAAATATTTGTTTGACGTTTGGATGAGGGGACATGGACACAATGAAAGATATTACACAGATAAGACACACACACAAATGGATTGATTTGGCTTAAAAACTTTAAACTTCTGTCTCAGAAGAATCGTTTGAAAAATATGAAAAAGAGTATTTTCATTAAACACAAAATTCAACTGAACTTGCCTTAGAGCTTTCCTTTAGACCACTGATTTCATCCCAGGATTCCAAACAGCCACCCAATTAACCATTAACCTTTCAGATCTCAAAATAAATGTCACTTTTCCAGGGAAACCCTTCCTAAAACCCTCAGACTAGATTATGCTCTCCAAGCACTGTGCATATTCCCTTTGTGTCACTTTTCAAAGATCATATACTCTTCTAGCTCAGTCTCTTTACTCGTTATTATTTCCTCAGCTCCTGAAACTGTACCTCGCCAATATTATTTTTATGTAATGAATAACCCTCAGTAATAGCCAAACAATCGGACATAGACATTTCTACGTCTAGGAATCTATGCTAAATAAATCATCAAAAAGTTTAACAGAGGTTTATATATAATTGTTACATTAATCTGAAAGCAGCTCTCAGAGAAGTATTCTGAAGACTATTTATGACCTAACAAAACTTGAATCTCAGATAGTAATAATGATGACCAGCATTACTGGAAGTTCACTATGGGTTTTATATAAATTAATTCAGTTAATTCTTCACAACAAACAATCTCTGATGTAGGTATTATCATTATGCCTGTATTACAGGTAAGGAAACAAGAAAAAAGAAATTGAACAGCTAAATTCAGCTAGCAAGCGGCTGAGCAAGGACTCCATCTCAGGCGTCCAAGCTTGAGAGCCTGTGATATTGCCACTCTTAAGCATTAAGCCATATTATGCTACCAAGTTCTACACACACACATACACGCACAATTTTTATTTTTATTTTCTTCTTTGTACCTTTGTGTATTTTCCAGATTTTCTACCAAAACCCAACTATATCATTTTTATAATCAGAAACAAAAATTATTTTTAAAGAGTAGGAAAAGTTACTTTTAAAGAGTAGGAAAACCCTAATTAGAGTGGTTTTCATTGAGTGAATTCTTTCTAACTAGTTATTTA